CAAACAGGACGAAACAAATTATACATAGTGGGTGATGGTCACTCCGCCCCGGTTAGAAAATTGATCGCGGAATCCGCTCGGGGTTTTTTTTGCGCGAAAAAGATCGTATCAAACTTTTTGTTTTGATGGACGTCGTTGGCTCAACCGATAGATCATAAACAAATCAACAGCACAATTCAATTAAATAACTATAGTTTCTCGTTCAGGCCATATTGTACGATACTGTAGCTGCCAAACTGCCAAGTGGGAAACGCCAAATACGACAAACTGTACACACAAATGGGTAGCTGAAATGCGATCCGCTATCGAACGAGGAGATCCCGCCGAACAAATCACTAGTCAGATGGCTGCTGATCTTGAGTGAGTTTTTTGGCTACTATTTTCCTTGTTTTGTTGCTTTTGTTCCGGAATTAGTAGCTCTAGAAGTGGGAAAAGCTGCAAAATAAATTTCATAAGTGCAAGAGGAGCTTTTGTGCACGAAAAGCTTCTCCAAGAAAGGTGTGTGAGTGTTACAAAAGGTACCGGGAGAATGTGGGCGAAGTCATGGGCGGGTCACACGTGTTACAGAATCGAAAGCGAGTTGGAGGGAGCACATTGCCGCTTCAAGAATGTGATTAGTTGCAGGTCAACGCTGTCGAGACAATTGTATGGTGGCGATATCACTGGCAGTGTGTCGTTAAGTACCGACGTTCTAGCGCTGGCACGGAGCCAATTTGGTGCTCTCAATGACCGAAATCAACGCCAAATAAGAGCAACGAACTTCACAGAGGTATACCGTTTGATCGGCCTGGTTTCTCAAGAGTTTACTCAGTTTTTCAGTCATTCGGATCTTCTGGTGATCATCTGTTGTCACCAAAGGCGGTACCTGTATGGGAGGAGTTGTCCTCATCTGTTCGCATAGACCACGCGTCCACGCTTATGGGAGCTCTGGAACAGAGTGCACTGCTTCTGGCCGATTATACTGTGGACGAACACAAGAAGTTGAAGTATGACTACTGGGGTAAGTAGGTGATTTGATGAGACATTCCACGCTGGTTGCGAAGGCGGTGACAGCAGACTGTGCCCTTTCGTGCGCCTCTCTTCTAGATGTTAAAGAGAAGGGGCGCACGTGCGAGTGCGAAGGTACACCTGCTCTGACTCCGCCTACCAGGTTCGCCTTCGTGGACTCGAACCTTAATGTTAGAGATTCTGGTCATTCGCAATAATATCCGACTAAGATTTGAGTAACCAGATGTAAAGTCACGTTGGGGTCGAGCCAAAGGAACATAGATCAGGAAGGGCTCAGCGCCACCAAAATAACTTCTTTCCAGCGATGCAGATAGAAGTTCATCGCCCAGAAGCATATGCGGGCCAAACGAATGAAGCGGTCGTTCCAGATGAGACAGGTGTTGTGCGGGGTATGAACTCACTTGGACGACGATCCTGATAATTGTTCCGAGGCTTGACAGCGGTTGAGAGTACCGATTTTACGTGGGATCAAGTTCGCCGCTGGCGGAGACGCACAACGTTTGTGGTTCTCTTTATTTTCACGCACACACTTGAAAGTGAAACTTTATCCATGGGCTTTCCATCGTTTCTTACTACAATAATGTCCTTTTCTTAGCCCTTCTGTGGTTTGGAACTTTTCATAGCCATTTGGTATCCGTGGTGAATTACGGCAAGTGCCGCGCACGGTCGCGTCGTGTATTGAATGTTCCCTTGCACTTTCAGATAAATGTTTCACGCGCCCAGCTAGAATCCATTCCGAAAGAGAGCCTTCCACCGGCGGAGGGGATGCCATGCTGGCTCGAGTAATGCCAGCTTGGACCAAGGCCTTGAATGACAAGCAGAGGAGGAAACGGGGGGGGGGAGGTCTTCTTGTTAAACTCCTACGTTCCAGAGCGTACTTGATGCATCGTCCCCAGGTTTCAGGCGGACAAAAAATTTAACAACATTTCACTACACTTTTTTTGCTAAGTTTCCTGTGAAACAGGTTTATATGTTTTTTTTTCAAAATTTCAATATTATTTTTTGAGATTAGAAAACGCACCAAAATTGGAACCCTGCAGGATCAGGAAAAGAATAGCCTTCTACTGAAAGAGTCTGTGTTTAACATCCAGTCTGTACTTGCAGACCTCATGCAGCATCTCCTGCTATGACACCACCTGCAGCTCCTGCTCAACCCACTACCGTGCAATTCAGCGGATTCAGCCAGTCGCCAATCATTACCCTACCATCACTGGATGTTCTCAGTGGGTCTTTATGCTTATAGTAATGGTTGCAATATTAAATTGCTCAATTCGGCTTCGAAAAGTGTTACATTTTTCGGCGCAGTTCGGCTCAGTGGGGGCATTGAATGGCACCCAGGTAGGCATCCAGGTCTTGTGAAGATCTACAAATTATTGTGATCAAACAGGTTCACTCGCACATTTCGCAGCTTCACAGGAGTTCACAGGTCTCACCAAGGTGAAACCATCGCTTTAAATGAACTGGCAAAGGAAAGTAACGAATGTGCAAGATGGCCCCTCCAAGCATTTTTTTCGATAATTCGGTAGTCATTTTTCTCCACAAAAGTGGTCATGTTCATGTTCGAAATCGGTTTCGTACTTTGAAGCTTTCGGGGTCAAGCTCAGGATTTAAGGCTTTGAAGCAGTGGTGCTCATAAATTTTGGACACAAAAACCCAAATAAAACTGAGCTCATGACTCCTGAAGGAGAAAAGAACTTTCGAGGGTTCTTGTGCAAAACCGGGATCAACCCCATACGAAGAAAGTCATCGCACCTAGCCCGTTCGCCTAAACCCCCAGAGCTCGTTCTTCCTTCAGTCTTGAGTGAAAATCCCCATATCCATAAAACTACCTCTTGTTTTGCACGTGGTGATGGTGAATGCCTCTTTCGAGGTAAGTAGTGCCGAAAATCTACTAATTTTGTAGAGGCATCGTCAATGGCTTCTACACCACAAGTCATGGTTCTCAGCGGTTCGAGCGCGTTTTTTCATCCTGGTGTGGTGAGTGCTTAAATTCTATTTACCGATTTTTTTGTTTTGTTGTTGTCTCAGTATGGTGGCTAACTGGCTCATTGATTGGCTATTTCTTAATTACTACTGGTTTCCCTCTAGGAGCCGTTGAACAGGAACAAGACAGGACAAGGGTAAGGCCTAAAAAAGGTTCGGCCAATGAAAGCAAAACCCCAGTAAAAGCTGCTAGGACTGGTAATTTTAAAGTCTGTTTACTTTGGGCGTGGGTCAGAATATCCAATTTACTGTGAGGCGCAAAGGCCGCGCTGATACCGCTTTTGCTGCTACGCTGCAACTTACTTTTTAGCCTTATGCAACGAAAAACAAATATGTAAAACTGGATGGTGTAGGGGTAGCAAAATGCTTACTACGGAAGCGTTCCGGCGATCCAATCCGGCTGAGCTCCCGTCCAGGCCAACCAAGGACTCTACTCTCAGGAGGCGGTAAAGTGGTCCCAGGTTCACCTGGGAGATAAAAAGTACATCGGCTAGCTCCTACAAGTCGGTAGGCTAGATCGGATTCAATAAGCCACTACGATTCCGAATGGAAGTGGAGATGTCACCGCATCCTGAAAAAGGCGAGCGATCAGCGGCTCTACCTTCCACAAGACTGGA